AGGTCACATCTGAATTTGATGTGGCCACACCTTTCCCCGCCCATACCCTACATAAGGCCTAGCCCAGGCCCAGACTCTCTCTTTCTCTCTCTGTTCTTTTCTAGCTCTTGCTCTTGCTCTTCTTTTCTAGCTCTTTCTGCTCTAGCTCTTTCCTCTCTCTTTCCCAGCCACGTGGAGTGCCAACCTTGCCTGGTCCCAGCAGGTGTACTGAATAAACCTACCCCTTACCTGAATACCACGTGAGTGCTACTGTTCTTACCCCTCTCTCTGCTCTTTTCTAGCTCTTTCCTCTCTTTCCCAGCTCTCTCTCATTCCCAGGCCTTTCTCAGCCACGTGGAGTGCCACCCTTGCCTGGTCCCAGCAGGTCTACTGAATAAACCTCCCCCTTACCTGAATACCACGTGCGTGCTGGTGCTGTTTTTACTCGGCTACCTCTTTTTAAAAACCTAACAGTAATAATTTGGAATCAGACCTTATAAATCACTGTAACTAGGTTTTGAAAGAGGAAATTGAGCACGAAGCTAATTAGTCAATTACTCTTAATCCTAAAATTCAGTTTCTCATCCTTTTGTGCTCTCATTTGGTGTTTCTCATTGTTTAATTAATGGCCTGTACTGTCATTAATGTTATCTTGTTCTTAAGCAAAGAACCACTAGCGTGAAGAAAGGAGGTAAGCAGTGGTGGCTCTAGATGATTTGTTCTTTTTTTTTTTCCTGTCATGGGGCTTGAACTCTGGGCTTGGGCGCGGTCTCTCAGCTCTTCAGCTCAAGGCCAGCGCTCTACCACTTGAGACACAGCGCCACTTCTGGCTTTTTCTGTTTATGAGGCGGTGAGGAATCAAACCCAGGGCTTCATGCATGCTAGGCAAGCACTCTACCACTGATCCACAGGTTTCTTTGTTCTTGCCTACCCTCTTGCCTTTACTTCACAATCTAAAGCAGCACAGAAGGCACATGTGTTACATAGGAGACTGTATAAACATTTGTGTGTCCTATTTCAGTGCCTCCAAATGGTAGGAATACATTCCATGACTAATAACAGAAAGCACCTTCAATTTTTATTTTTTTACCAGTAGTTTGAACCCAGGGCCTTGTACCTGCTCTGCAGGCTCTCTCCTACTTGGGCTATAATACCCCCAAGCCTGAAACGTTGTATTTTTGTCTTTCTGTTTTCTAAATGCTAGGGTTACCTGAACTTCTATAGTCTAAGCTAGAGAGAAGAAAGAAGGAAGTATCTGAAATTATTAGGTATAATTCTCAGAGCCCAGATTTTCTAGCTTTGGTATTTCTCTGTCCTTAGTCTGCTTTTCTTCTTCCTTCTCACCTTGAGGAATGATTTCAATTACAGACTGCTTATTAGAGAGCACAAGAATTAATTTCTGGCCTATAAATATATTAGAGTGCTAACGTTAAACGGAATGGAGAATTTCCACTGACACATTAAACAAATGCGTGGAGAGAGATGGGGAATAGGGAGAGAGAAGGTGAGAGGAAGAGGAGAAGAGGATATGATTTCTCAGTCGCTTGGGGTGAGAGCTAAATTCAGAGATGTCAAAAGAGAAGTCTGCAACTGATGATCAAGTCTATCCTGCTGACGACATGCATTATGTTGCAAATACAAAAGCTGATGTGAGTTATGCCTGTGGATTTCAACACTTCCCAGAGTAAACACCTCAATGATGGTCTCCAAAAGTATGAAGGCAGAACTCTGGCTGAAATAAACAAACAAAAACCCAACAACAGGGGCTGAGAAAATGGCTCAGTGGTAGAGTGCTTGCCTTGCATCCATGAGGCCCTGGGTTCGATTCCTCAGCACCACATAAACAGAAAAAGCCAGAAGTAGTGCTGTGGCTCAAGTGGTAGAGTGCTAGCCTTGAGCTGAAGAGCTGAAGGACAGTGCCCAGGCCCAAAGTTCAGGCCCCACAACTGAAAAAAACAAAAAACAAACAAACAAACATAAAAAACACAGTCTTGGGCTGGGAAGGCAGCTCAGTGGTAGAGTGCTTGCCTTGCATGCATGAGGCTCTGGGTTCGATTCTTCAGCACCACATAAGCAGAAAAAGCCAGAAGTGGTGCTATGGCTGGAGTGGTAGAGCACTAGCCTTGAGCTGAAGAGGTGAGGGACAGTGCCCAGGCCCAGAGTTCAGGCTCCTTGACGGGCCAAAATAAAAACAAACAAAAAAACCCAAAAACCCAACAATAAAACCCAGTAAGGCTGGAAGTATGGCTCTAATGGTAGAGCCTCTATGCAGCAAGGGCAAAGGCCCTGAGTTCAAAGCCCAACCGAAGGCTACACTTGATGATTTGTTGACAATATTTTTACTCTTTAAATCAAGAGGATAAAGTGGTACAGTGTCAGCTGTGCAGGGATCTCATTGAAGTTTACTCTATATATCAGAATGGTGGGAAATGGCCTTTTAACCACATTCTGATCTCAGCCCACGCTTGTAAAACTCTGAGCCTGTTGTGGCAGAATCTTAGCAGCTGTACTTAGTTGGGGGTGGCACTGGGGGCCCATCCCTGGAATTGTGTGTCTCATCAGAGATCCATTCCCTTGCTTCCTCCTTCCCAGGAGGTAATGGAGAAAGAGGGCTGAGTAACATTGAAAAATTCTGTATCACAATAAGCATTTCTGGCATTATGAGTGTGAGACACTAAGAAGGGCCATCAGAGGTGAACACTTCTCATTCAATAGGCAGACAGTTGTGAGGAAAACAGTGAAACACACTTTTAACATCTTAGCATGCTAACATAACTGGCAGCTCTTCACGTATCATTATCATTTTGAGGTGGTATGCATTTTCTTTCTCTTATAAAATGTGAAGCTCATCAATATTGCTTGGAAGTATGAATAGATATGTTCTCAGTTTTGTAATTTCTGCAGTTTCCTCTCCGAAAGGGAACAAGTTAACTAGAGATATTATATAACGGGACTCAGAGGCTGTGATTGCTAAAGGCACTGACAATAGAGGCTGCAGATGTGTGATGGTTAACTAAGAGAAGGATAAACGCTTGGCATCTGTGCCTTCATTCTGCACCTGTCTTCCTTGCTGTCAAAGTTTGCGTCGGATTCCCGCTCAGCTCTGCAGGTAGGTAAGTTAATTATTGAAGCAATGTTTTTCCCAAACTAGTAATCACACTTCATCCTCAAGACACAAAGATAAGAGTAACCTGGACCAGTGGATGGGACTTGGACATCACCAGCCATTACCCTAAGCCTACAGGAACTAACTCCATCTGGCCTGTCTGACCTGTTCTTTTTCTCTAGGCCAGTCGCTCCAGCAGTCACCTTGGGTTCCAAAACTAACAGGTATTACGGATAAACATCTTATGAGAAGAGTTCAAACTATTCTCCAGGCAACAGCCACTTCCCTTTTCCCCACAAAACCCATCCTTACATAACAATCAACCACACTATAGCCTAAGCTTCCTTGTTGGGTCAGCTATGCAAACCTGCAACCCATGCCTTCATTCTGCTTTCTATAGAACCTTAAGAGTTCTTGTCAGGTCCCCAAAGAAAGATCTCAGGTCACTTAGACCTCCTCTCCTGCTCTCACCACTTGCCATTTCTTTGATTGACTGGCTTGATGTCTGGCTTATCCAGGTCTGGTAGGACCCCTGGAACTGGCACTTTTCCCTAAAATTCTGCTAGCCAAGTTAATATCTGTGAATCAACAAATGAGACACACATAAAGGATTCGTTTTGTTTTTGCAAAAATGGTAAGTAGACGTGAATGAAATCATCACAACAAACTCAAGTAGGAATGGTATTGCTTTACACTTCAATGCCACTAGAAACTAAAAATGTGCAACAGGACAGCAGGCACAAAACACATACTGGTTAACAGACACCTTTTTTCCCTGCTCATAGAAGATGTTGTGTTATCTTGCCACACTGAGGATTAGACTCAAGCCCTTGTACATGCTAAGTAAGCACTCTCCCACTGAGATATGTAACTAGCCCTTGGGTTTTGGAGACAAGATTCTCTCTATGTAGTTCAACTTGCTATGTACCTTCGAATGGCCTCAAACTTGTGATCTTCCTGCTTCTGCTTCTTGAATGCTGGAATTACATAACATCCAGCTCAAACGAATTTGTTGTTGGGGGGGGGGGTTATACTGGGGATTAAACCCAGGGTCTTGCACATGCTAGGTAAACTATCACTTGACTTTTAAGTTGGCTACATAAACACAACTTTAATAAATTATTATGCAGTATTTAAGACTGTATAAAAAGGGTATAAAAATGAAAAATACTTGATAGATTTGCCACCCAGATATGAATATGAAGAGGGCATTGCTAATACTACTGAAGCTCTCTGAATATCTTTGCTTACATCTCTCTTCTTTCCCCAAGGGTAGCCACCATTCTGAACATTCCATCTGCTTGTATCCCTGTATTTTTCTGTTCTTTTTTCCTCTAGTATTGGGACTTGAATGCAGGGCCTCAAGCTCTTGCTTAGTTTTTTCTCTCTCAAGACTTTTTGGTGGCTAATTAAAAAAAAAATTTGCCTTGGCTGACTTCAAACCATGATTCTCACATCTCAGTCTCCTGAGCTGCTAAATTTATAGGTGTGAGAGGATGGTTTAAAACCAATCTGCCTGGCTCTAAAGTCTTTGATTCTCACTGACTGACTTGAGATCATTCCTGCTGTAGAATGTAAAATGCTTAACATAAATAATTTGTCTTATAAATTGTTTTTTTTTTTTTTTTTGTCAGTTGTGGGGCTTTAACTCTGGGCTTGGGCGCTATCCCTGTGCTCTTCAGCTCAAGGTGAGCGCTCTACCACTTGAGCCACAACATCACTTCCAGTTTTCTAGTGGTTTACTGGAGATAAGAGTCTCACAGACTTTCCTGCCTGGGCTGGCTTTGAACCTCGATCCTCAGATCTCAGCCTCCTAAGTAGCTAAGAATACAGGCGTAAGCCACCGGCGCCCAGCTTTTTAAATTGTTTAAATACCTTTGGAGACTTCTTAGGACTCAAAATTGTTGGGACTTACCTTGATCACCTCTGGGGTCTGCTGAATCAAAACCATGGAAGAAGTATCATTGGCTTTATCACCCACAGGACTTCTGCAGACTGACAGACTGGCCTGGGAGGAAGTTGTCAAGGTTTCCTGTAGAATTTGCATCATTTCCTTTTCTTGAGACAGGCTCCCTCTACCTGATTTGCATTCAACGAGTTCTTGAGCAAAATCTTCAATGCTTTCCAGGATTCTCAGTAAGAGAGCTCGATCTTCTTCCTCTATTTTGTGTCCATTGGTTTCAATAATCCTTGTTAGGCAGGAAGGTGAGACTTTTTCTGTGGCTGAAGAGCCTTTCGATTTAAGGTCCACATCTGTAGGGATCGGACTAGTCACATGACCGTGACTACTTAGAGAAGTAAGGTTGTTATCCTGGGCAAGTGGCTCTTTTAGAGAGGTCTCCATCTTCTGTGAGAATGATTCCAAATCCAGTAACAATTTATCAATCTCTTCCTGACTGTTAGGGTTCATAAAACCTCTCTGGTCTCTCACTTCCACGCTAGGGACTTTTGATTTACAGTCTTCCTCGGGTAGATGAACAACTGGCGTCTCAAACACTTTACCGATATTATTTTGCACGGAGGCAGGGCTTTTTTGAAGGTGAAGACCATGGTCTGAAAATTCGGCTCTCTGTTTGTTCACCTTAAACAGCTCCTGACCAGGCCCATTCTCTGTCCTTTGTCCTTTGTCCAAGAATGCTTTCTTTCCATCTGACTCTTCTTCAATATAAAGAGTTTCCATTAACTCACCAGCAGAAATGTTCTCCAAAGGATTCGTGGCTGATTGAAGTCGGACAGCTTTGAGAGTGCTGGGATCATTTACCTCCAGCCTATGTAAGGAATTGGTAGAGTTGTTCGGAGTGACTTTTACAGTGTCTGTTTTCCTAGAATTATGTGTGTCACCTTGCGATTCAATAGTCTGAAACTGTCCAGAGTCCGGACCTGACTGCTGGACAACATCTTCATATTTAGGGGGCTGTTCGGTGCCGTATATGGGAGAGAAGGGAGTCAGTTGTAAGCTAGGCACATTATTGACCAGTTCTGTTATATCGATGGTCTCATTATTCCCAGGCTGCATGAATTCAAATGGTAACTTCTTCAAGTAGGATGCTAACCTCGTCATCACATTCATATAGACAGTTTCAGAGGTAGAACTTGCATCGGTCCCACTCCCTTCACTCATGCTACCGCCTGGCTTTTTCTTTATGCACTGTTTTATGATGTCTGTGCATTTTTTCAGATCCTCAGAGCATTTCAGCAAGATGTCTAAGCACATTTTTATGTCTGTCCCAGGAGAGAAGTGATCTAGTTTGTGTTTTTCCAAAATCTGAGTTACCAGGTCTTCTTCAGAGAAGTTCTGGAGAAGCATGGAAGTCAGGTTTGTATCAAGCGAGTTTCGCTGGGACAAAGACTTTTCCTCCAATGAGGAACTCCGGAGTAAGCCAAAGGCCGGGGAGAGCCCATCACTGTTATAATGGCCACAGAGCAGGTCAAAATCAACCGACCTCCTATTGAATGAGTCAGACTTCACTTTCCTTCCCTTTTTGTAAACGGCATGATGAGAGTTTTTGAGTTTTTCCAGGGAAAATTCTTTTATTTTGCCACTGGCAAAACTGATGGCTTCCCCAGCAATGTCCTTTAAATTACAGGTGTTCTGGAACGTGGACGATCTCTTGACCCTGGGAATGCCTGCCAGGGCCTGGTGGGGGTAGTCACCTTCAGTAGAGCAAAGGCCATTTTCATGGGGTAGAAACATAGAGTTGAGATCGACATCTTTGAACGGAGACACTGGGAGGTGCAAGAGGTCCGCACAAACGCTATGGTGAAATACAATGCAGTCGACACCATGTGTGAACGTGTGGCAGGTTCCAGTGCAATAATGTATAGCTTGCTCAAAACGCCGGTCTATCACCACGCTGCTGTAGTGGTTCACAGTACTAACCACAAGTCTATAAGCTGCTGCCATAATATCCAATCCACCTGGTCCTGGGACGTTCAACCTTCTATATGTTTCAAGAAAACGCTCTTCAATGACACTCAACTGAATATGTGCCTAATGGCAATGTTCAGTGATTGCTTGCAAATCTAAGGACTTTTAAAATGGAGGGAAATCACATACATTTGAGGTTTGGTAATTATCAGTATACAGTAGCTGCTGCACATGTGTGCCTGTATCAGCAAGTCTAATAATTTAATAATTGTGCTGTTTGGTTGTGTTTAGAAATATGACACTTGAAGATCATTTTTAGGAAAGATATCCTCTTGTAGTTCTTCAGTGCTTCGGTAAAACGCACATTTGTTATTATAAATTTATATCATCAATCTTAGCTGGTAGTCGTCTGGCAGTGCTGTGATAATTGAGTCCTCCAGAGGTTTAAATGACCCATTTTTGTTCTGTAACTTAGAGCAACCTATAATAAAAGAAGAAAATAATTCTTAATACGTTTCCTTAATACTAGAACTTTTATTTATTTTTTTTTTCTTTAGATCTTCTTTGTAGTTAGTCATGGAGTCCAATTCCCTATCAGGCAACTAAGTGGCTATGCAGTACAGACTTGTGTTTGTCATATTCTGCATTCCTTTTTTTTTTTGTCGGTCATGGGGCTTGAACTCTGGGCCTAGGCGCTGTCCCTGCACTCTTCAGCTCAAGTTGAGTGCTCTACCACTTGAGCCACAGTGCCACTTCTGGTTTTTCTGGTGGTTTATTGAAGAGTCTTATGGACTTTCCTGCCCTGTTGGCTTTGAACCCTGGTCCTCAGATTTCAGCCTCCTGAGTAGCTAGGATGACAGGCTTGAGCCACCGGTGCCTGGGCTTATTTAATTCTTTTTAACATTTATTTATTTATTACCAGTTCTGGGGTTTAAACTCAGGGCCTGGTTGCTGTCTCGGAGCTTTTTTGCTCAAGGTTAATACTCTATCACTTTGAGCCACAGTGCTGTTTCCAGCTTTTTACTAGTTAATTGGAGGTAAGAGTTTTGTGGATAATCCTGCCCTCACTGTTGCTGAACTGCAACCCTCAAATCTCAGCCTCCCAGATAGCTAGGATTATAGGTGTGAGCCATCTTTAGTGGCTTTTACAACATGTTGCAGTATCTGTCCAAAAAGGTTCTATCAATCAAGAAACAATGAATTCCCACTGCATGCCCTGCTCTGACTAATAGCTAAGGACACAGCAGTGAATAAACGCAAAGTCTCTGTCCTTACGGAGCTGACAATCTCATTGGAAGAAGAAAAACAACATGCAAGTACATATAACTTATCAGATAATGATAGGCTATGGAGATAAATGAAGCAGGACAAGGATTTTGAAAGGATGGAGAGAGCTCACTGATATCTGACCAGAGACCTGAAAGAAGAGAGGGAGCAGGTCATGCAGTGATTCATCTCAGGCAGAGTAACCTTAAATGGAAAGGCCTGGAGGTGGGAGCATTCTTGATTTACCGGCAGAATGATGAAGACAGACTAAACTGATCAAAGCAGGGAAGGCAAAGAGCCCAGTGTAGAAGGTAAGGTCAGAAAGGAAGGTGGGCATCTAAACCATGCAGGGTCTGTAGAGCTCTATAATGAAGCTGACTTTAACTCCAAGCGAGCCAGGACACAACTGATGGCGTACTGAATTGAGGAATGACACGATCAGATTCACATTTTTCAACTGATGAATTTTGGATGCTGTGTTCCAAGATGTAAAAGACAAGAGGAGAAGCTGGGAAACAAAGCAGGCACTATTGGAATGAGCCAGGCAAGAAGCTGGGGGCTTGAGGCAAGAGAGTTAACAGTGACATGGTTAGATGCTGGACCTATTTTAGAGGAACAGCCAGCCATGTGATTTACTGAAGAACAGAGGGTTCACCACAGATGCATCAAGGATGGTAACTGAGAGATGCATGAACAGTGATTAAGGTAATCAGGGGAGGACATGTGACACAGTGAGGGGGAAAGTTGCATTCTGCCATCATATTGCGGCTGGTGCACAGAAACATAGTTGTCACTTGGCTAAATTCACTTATTGTAAACTGTTAATTCCTTGAGATCTTTCTACATACAGAATCAAGCTGTCTAAGAACAGACACAGTTCTGCTTTTTCCTTTCCTATCATACTGTCTTACTGCCTTCACTGAAAGAAGAAGGAAGTTTATAAATCGTTGTCTTGTAACTGATATTGGGGAAAATGGAGTCAGTCTTTCACTATTACAGACGATGAAAGTTGGAGGGGTTTCTGTGGATTTCATTTATCAGGCCGAGAAAACTCTTCTATTTTTCATTCTGTTGGAAGTTGTTTTGTTTTTTGTTTTGTGGTTTCAGGGCTTGAACTCTGGGCCTGGGCACTGTTCCTGAGCTCTTCAGCTCAAGGCTAGTGCTTGCTCTACCACATGAGCCACAGCTCCACTCCCAGTTTTCTGGTGGTTAATTGGAGATAAGAGTCTCACAGACTTTCCTGCCCAGGCTGGTTTGGAACGGCGCTCCTCAGATCTCAGCCTCCTGAGTAGCTAGGATGACAGGAGAGGGCCTGGCCTGTTGGAAGTTTTAAAAATAAAATCTCTAAGGTATATTTAATTTTGCCAAATATTGAGATGATCACATAACTTTTATCCTTTACTTTGGCAGGGGGGAGAGAGCTGAACTTCAATGTTTAAAATGAATGAATTAGCCATAAGAATGCATTCAGAAATATGGAAATAACAAAAGATATAGCAAAGAAAAAATTGACAAGTTGTCTCTAAGAAGTAGGCTTATGAATCAACACTTAAAAATCCTTTTGCAATTGACACTTTAAATACAAAGTAAAGTTTGCAAATAATGTTTGTAACACATTTTAGAAATTAAAAATGGAGGCTGGGAAGGTGGCTCAGTGATAGAGTGCTTGTCTTGCATGCATGAAGCCCTGGGTTCGATTCCTCAGCATCACATAAACAGAAAAAGGCGGAAGTGGCGGTGTGGCTCAAGTGGTAGTGCTAGCCTTGAGCTGAAGAGCTGAGGGACAGCGCCCAGGCTCAGAGTTCAAGCCCCACAACTGACAAAAAAAAAAAAAAAATGGGTTTTAGGTAGATGGGGAGATGAGCCTGGGCTCTGATTAATTTTGTGCTAGGTTTGAGAGTCAAAGGTGCAGCTTCAGGCAGGCTGGAGTCAAGGATGCACCTTCAGGCCTGGGTTGTTTCAGAGACCCAGAGAGAAGACGCTCCTCACTGGCAGCAGAGGGATAGGAGTTGGAAGATAAGGATTTTGGAGCATGCTAACTAGATGAAGGATTTCAGGCTACAAGAATAGATGAGAGGGCTGGGAAGGTGGCTCAGTGTAGAGTGCTAGCCTTGCATGCATGAGGTCCTGGGCTCGATTTCTCAGCAACACATAATCAGAAAAGGCCGGAAGTGGCGCTGTGGCTCAAGTGGTAGAGCGCTCGCCTGGAGCTGAAGAGCTGAGGGACAGCGCCCAGCCCCAGAGTTCAAGCCCCACGACCGACAAAAAAAAAAAAAAAAAGAGTAGATGAGACTGAGCATGCATGGGCTGAGAAAAGAGCCAAGGAGTGGACCCTAAGGAAGACTTGGCCCATACAGAGCAAAAAAGAGACAGAAAATAAATGTTCAAAGGGTAGTTAGACAGCCAAAATATTGTTATAGAATCCCAACGATGAGAGTGATTCATTCTTTGAACATGCTGGGTTTCACTAGTTTTGTGTACCAACAATCATGAGAGCTTTGCTTTATTTTTATGGGGTTTTCCACCCCTCATTTCATGGAGAAATTTAGGAAGTGAATAAAACTTCTAACAACACAAGTTCCGTGATGGAAAACCGAGAACGGTGTGATATAGGTTTTTATATTGCTATTCATTAGCACCATTTCAGGAAACATCTGGAGCAGGGAGATAAGAGGCAAAGAAACTCTATTGTTTGTCTCAGCTGGAAAAAAGGCTTCAAGATGAGATGATGGATACTAGAGACAAGGGAGAATGAGCTGAATATCCAGGTCACTAGAGTGGACCATCTGAAGGCTCAGAGAAGAATATACTACAGGAGTGTTTTTTTTTTAATTTAATAGAGTACAGAAGGCATGATGATTCAGAAGTAATGAGTCATTTAAACATAATAAAACTACTGCTCTGCCTGGAAAACACAGGCAATCTTTGGTGGATGAGTCATTTTTGAAATGGCTTCCAAGAGAACCGTCTAGAGGAAATAAGAGACCAGGTCCACAGTGCTACTGGGGGGAATTAAAGAAAACGAGACTTGGGATATTTTCATCTCTGTGTTCAATTCAAGAAGAGTTGAGAAGATAAATTGAAAAAGGGAAATCTCATAAGGGAAGATTTTCTTACATTCAAAGGAATGGTATATGTAACTATGGAAGCAGGATACATGCTTTGAGTTTAGGGATAAAACTATGTCAGCAGCAGGCCTAACAGGAATTAGGAAGCCCATAAAACTTACTTTGATCGATATTCCAGTGGAGAAACAGGAAGTGTGGCCGGGGGGTGTTCCCTCAGGTAGGTAGGAAGGAGCAAGTTGGCCAGCTTCTGCCTCTGCACTGACCAATCTGATAACCTGTAAGTCACTTCCCTGGGATTTCACCTTCTCTTCTGCAAAAACAGGATGAAAGATGGCTTTGGGGTCTAGAGAACAAAAGAAAAACAAAATTTCTGGTTGATTTTGGTTTGAACTAGGAAAATTTCAGTGTTTCTTATTTATATTTTATATAGAAAAATCATAAACTAGCTATTCATTTTTATTTCTTTTGAGAGGTGCCACAGGCTCTCCTGGAACTCATGATCCTTCCTGCTCTAGCCTTCGGAATACTGGGATGACAGGCATTCGGTACCACACCTCTATTCATTTTAATTAATTAATTTATTTATTATTTTTCGGTTGCTCATGGGGCTTGAACAATGGGCCTGGGCGCTGTCCCTCGGCTCTTCAGCTCAAGGCCAGTGCTCTACCATTTGAGCCACAATGCTACTTCTGGTTTTCTGGTGGTTTATGGGAGATAAAGAGTCTCACGGACTTTCTTTTCTGGGCTGGCTTTGAATTGCAATGCTCAGATCTCAGCCTCCTGAGTAGCTAGGATTACAGGCATGATGCCTGGTTTCTCTATTCATTTGAAATGTGTGTTATTTGCAAGTTCTAAGGGAAAAATTTGGGGCTAAACTTTTGCTACTTTTAAATAAAACCAAAAAGTATCTCAGGCTGGGGATATAACTTACGTAGTAGAAAGCTTGCCTAGCATGTGTCGGGCTCTGGATTCAGTTCCTAGTATACACACAACACACACACACACACACACACACACACACACACACACACACACACACACACACACACACTTACGTAGTAGAAAGCTTGCCTAGCATGTGTCGGGCTCTGGATTCAGTTCCTAGTATACACACAACACACACACACACACACACACACACACACACACACACACACACACACACACCAGTTCTCGCTGTCTGGCATTATCTCAACCTATGCATTTAGTTCCTAGTATACACACAACACACACACACACACACACACACACACACACACACACACACACACACACACACACACACACACACACACACACACACACACACACACACACACACACACACACCAGTTCTCGCTGTCTGGCATTATCTCAACCTATGCATTTTCCTTTTCTATGTATTTTTCTTTTTTTGGAGATCCTAAAATAAAAGCATGGGGGGGGAGGAGGGAGGGGAGGGGGGGACAGGGACAGGGACAGGGAGAGAAAGAGAGAGAGAGCGCGCCTTTTTTCTGACAAGGGCCACCTGGATATGTATAACATCATTCAGGAGCCACAGAACATTATTAATATAGACAGATGGCCAACAGGCAGCCAATGAGAATCATTTCTGTCTGTCTGGTCATGGACTTAATTATTTTGAAGGTCTTCCTCCCTCTATCCCTTCCATTTCCCCTTCATTTCCCATCCTTCTCTTGTCTCCATCTCTTCTTCCTTCCCCCCTTTCTTTATCTACCTACTTATTTTTTGTGGTTCATTGGTGATAAGTCTCATAGACCCTCCTGCCCAGGCTGGCTTCAAACCAGGATCCTCAGATCTCAGCCTCCTGAGTAGCTAGGATGACAGGTGTAAGCCACCAGCCCTAGGCCATTATTTATTTAGTTTTGATGATACTGCAGTTGGAACTCAGACCTTGAGCTTGCTAGAGACGGGTGCACTACTACACAAGTCATACCTCTAGCTTTTTGTTTGTTAGTTTGAGTTTATTCTTCAGATAGCATCTGAACATTTTTCTACAGGCCAGCCTTGGTCTTTGATTCACCTCCATGTAGCTGGGATTACAAGCAAGAACCACCATGTCCATCTAGATTTTTTTGTTGTTGTTTGTTTTTGAGATGGTAGTCCTGCTCAGTCTTTGCCCAAGCTGGCCTCAAAGCTAGATCTTCCTGTCTTCACCTCCTGTGTAACTACAAAATAGGTGTGCACCTATGTCTAGCCAACAGATACATATTTTTTTAACATATGTATATATATTAAACACAATGTAATAAACATTTGAGTGCTACCACAGAGTACTCTTCAGGCGAGCAAGTAGAAGTTGTATGGTTTTATCTCATGCAGCTCCCAATGTGGGCAGGGAGGGTAAGAGAATGCCTGGCCTTCAAGTTGAGGAGGGCATTCACAGGATGAGGACCAACAAGCCCAGTCCTGGAGTCTCACAGAGTTGGCGGCAGGAAATCAAGGCGGATGCTGGGTGAGCAAAAGGGAGGGAGGCGGAACGTGGTATGACATGTGTGGGAGCGCAGAGCTTGGTATTATCCAAGCGTCAAGCTGGCTTCCAGGAGCCAGAGCTGTGAAGGAGGTGGGGCATGGGCATGGGCAGCACGGTAACAGAAGCCTTGGCTGAGAGGTTTCAATTGGGGGTGGGGAGGGAGACAAGGTCAGATTTACTCTCTGAGCAATGCTGTGGGGGGCAGACTTAGGGAAGCAAGGCAGAGCTAAGTCAATCAGGGGAAGGCCTCCGCAGGCTCCAGAGAGCGACGGGAGAGCTTAAAATAAGTCAGCTCAGTCTTAAGTGACTGACCCATGATCACAAAACTATCAACAGGAGACCTTCATCTTTAATTCCTGTGCCTTTCTTCATTCCTGTGAAATACAAATTCTGATCAAAGCTTAAAAAAAAAGATTGAAAAAATTTTAAGTTGTGGGGCTGGGAAGGTGGCTCAGTGGTAGAGCGCTTGCCTTGCATGCATGAGGCCCTGGGTTCAATTCCTCAGCACCACATAAGCAAAAAGAAAGAAAAAAAGCCGGAAATGGCGCTGTGGCTCAAGTGGTAGAGCGCTAGCCTTGAGCTGAAGAGCTGAGGGACAGAGCCCAGGCCCAGAGTTCAGGCCCCACGACCGGACCCAAAAAAAAAATAAATTTTAAGTTGTTATTATAAAGGTGATGTTTAGAGGAAGAATTATTTTAAAAAAATAGTGCTTGGGAACAGACTTGGCTTTACTACTATTCTCATAACTCCTAAAAAGATCTTAATTTTCTTAAATTATGGATATATATTTGAAGAATATTAACTATTTTATATCAGCTATGTAAACATTCAAAGCACTGTAGAAAAAACGGCTTCTTATGACTTATTGGAATTTATGGGATTAAAAAAAATGAGACCAAAAAATAGTTCAGTTTATTCAATCGATATTTCTTGAGCCCCTTTTGGGCTCTGATGGAGACTATAATGACTTTAGGAATTTTACAGTTTCCTTTTCTTTTCTGTGTAGGAGGGAAGAGAGAATATTCAGAACTGAGTGGCCAATCCAAGAGTTAAATAAATAGAAGCACAAAGTCAGGGGAAGGTTGTTTGAATGGGGTAAAAGAAAAATCCCAAAGAGCCAGGTACTGGCTATAATCCTAGCTAGCCTGTCATCCTAGCTACTCAGGAGGCTGAGATCTGAGGTTTGCAGTTCAAAGTCAGCCCTGGTAGGAAAGTCCATGAGACTCTTCTCTCCAATGAACCACCAGAAAATCAGAAGTGGCACTGTGGCTCAAGTGGTAGAAAACTAGCCTTGAGCTGAGGGACAGCATCCAGGCCCCACGACTGACAAAAAAAAAAAACACGCACACACACAAAAAAACAACAACAAAAAAACAGAGTTCTGCTCTTTGGCTTTGCTTAAACAACAGCTTGAATCATATGAAAATAATGACTGAATGACAGAGACATGGAGTGAACAAAGATAATTCTATGAGACAGCATCTATATGAACATTTGTGTGAGTGTATGTGTGTATGTATGTACATACGTATGTATTTGCATAGATACTCACTAGGTAGTCTAGGCTAATCTTTAACCCATGATCATCCTTATTCAGCTTCCTATGTGTTGGGATTACAAGTGTGCACCACCTCATCTACCTTGTAAACATCCTTTTTGGCTTTAAACACACAGACAGACAGACATGAGATTGTGTATACTCTTTAAAACTAAAGCGAAGCTATAGCCTATTATTTATTTCCCTCACTTAATACAGAGATATTCCTTTCAGTGAAAGTAAAAATGGGTTAAACAACTTTATGCATTGTATGGGTATGCTGTGGTAAATTATTCATTAGATTCTCTACTAAGGTACACGGGCTGTGCATTAAGACGGAGAGAGAGAGAGTAAGTAGCAAGCGGTAAGACTGATGCCAAGCTCGCGCCTGTCATCCGAGCTACTCAGGAGTCTGAAATCTGAGGATCACGGTTCAAAGCCAGCCCAGGCAGAAATGTCTGTGAGACTCTTATCTCCAATTAACCACTAGAAAAACGGAAGTGGCGCTGTAGCTCAAGTGGTAGAGCGTTGCCTTGAGCCGAGGAGCTGAGGGACAGCGCCCAGGCCCAGAGTTCAAGCCCCACTACCGACAAAAAAAAAAAAAAAAAAAAAGACTGATGTTGGCTGTGGCAGCATTTTGAATATCTAAAGGTGAAAAGAGGTAAGACATATGGAAGCTTATGAAATTTCAGTGCTCCAGACACAGATGAAGAATATCTGAATCTAGAAGTCTTTGTGGACAAAGAATCTAAAAGGGAGGCACACACACACACACACACACACACACACACACACACACACACACACACACACACACACACACACACACACACACACACACACACACACACACACACGAAAAGAAAAAGACTGTAACCCAGCACATACTAAATATGAAGTCATTTCAAATCTTCACATCTGCAAAACAGATAGAATGTCATAGAAAGCACACAGATAACTAGAAACAGTGGGGTGGGTGGACTGCCTGTGGGAAATGGAATGCTGTTCTAATGATCATCTACAGCCACAGGGTTCTAAGGAAGTGACAGAGACTCCCAACTGTGCTCCAACAGAAGGTTCATTGAGTCTTTCTAGGAAGTTGCTAGGTGACTGTAAGACTCCTTTCCAGGGTTCCACTTCCTAAATAAAGAGTTTGGGTGGGCTCAGTGGGGTACAAACTGTCTGTCTAGAGTTCCCTTAGAAGCTGCAAATATTAGGCATTTCCCACTGTACCCAGAAAAACTCTACTTTGGGTGTTTTGTTTTGTTTTTTAAGATATTGGATTTTCAAAAAAGAGTTGTACCTGGGAAAAATAGTTCCTCAGGAAAAAAAC